GAGAGTATTAACTTAATGAAAGAGCATTTGCATGTTTTCAGAGCAAAACATCATCCAAAAAAGAATCAAAGAAATCTGGCATAGTTGATGAAAGCATTTTATTTATTGATCCTTTTATAATCCTTTGTTTTCTTTTTCCTCCCTCATCGTATGGTGACACATACAATGTAGGCTGTAACATTCATAAGCAAGCTAACCTCTCATCCTGCAACTATTCACTTATAAATGGTGCTTTATGTAGTTTCTGAAGTATGTGTTGTTAGGTTTTTTTAATCTAAAAATGCTGCATAAAAACACCTTAAATAATAGCTTCAATTATGTATAGACTTGTTTTAAACAAACTGAAAATTAATTATAGAGGGCTGAATCTTCAGCTAATTGCATCTGCTTAGTTCCCCTGCTATCAGGTCTACTTTATACACGTGTATTCCATTTGCTTTAAGAGCCATTTGTTGGTGTGAGCCAAAAGCTGGCACTTGTATGACTGAAGATGGTGAAGCTGTTTTTTCAGATTGAGTTAAGTCTCTTTCCTCCAAAGCTTAGGCAACACATCCTTGGGTTTAACAGTATGCAAAACATCCATATAGAATGTAGTAATTAAAACTATTTAAAATAATTACAAAGTATGTACATTAGCCAAGATTCTGTAAGTGGAGTTTAGTGAAAAAGATTAAACTTTCTTACAACTTTTTTTTTTTTTTTTTTTAAAAACCATCCTACCCTGTTCTCTGTAGGATGAGTTTTCTATTCAAACATGTGATCTTCTGAAACATGTGGGAACATTCCTCAAATTTTAATTTTTGGCGTAAGACACAGCCATCTTGGGTTACTTTTCAATGGCAGAAGCAGATACCTTGAGAGTGATGAAGCTACTCAGGTTGAACTATGCAACTCTGGATGGAAATAAAATGGTATTACATAGCTGAGCAAAAGCTTCTTCTACCTTGGAGAGAAATGGGATAAGGCCTATAAATCCAATAATTTGTGGGATACAAAGGGTAGATATAAGTGAAGATCACACCAGCATCTAATACCTTATATCTTTCATGTTCAGTGTTCACTATTGCAATAGCAGGTTTGATTTATGTTTCTTATAGTAAGAACTATGCCATTTTTCTGTGAGCTTCATACCAAAGTATTAGCAATGAATTAATGCTTTGCATTAAGTTTATTATGAAACTATGGCTCATTGTTGCAGCTGTTTTTCTTGATTATCTCATAACTATGCAGAAGAGGTAACAGTGGTAAAAACATTATAATGTATTTAATGCCAGGGCAAAACCAGCCAGGTTATCACAAGCAAGACTCTCAGAATGTAAGTTGAGTAGGGATAAGCATGCAGATTGATTACTATAGCAATCAGAAGAGTTAAGATCAGTAAAATTCAGATGATAAAAGATTTTTTTCTTAGCTTCTGTGGTTTCCTCACTGTCTGAATCTCTACATTTTCCATTTGTGTGAAATGGCAGTAAAGTGAATGGAGAATTCTGCTCTGGCAGGAGTCTGCTCTTGGCTTATCCTCAGATGTGACTGACAGAAATGATGGCATCAGATACAAGCATTTTTATCTTCTATTCAAATTTAAGAAGTAAATAAGTAATTTTAGAAAGGCTTGTTCTGCTTACATCTTGCAAATAAGCATATTTACTAAGGGATATTTTTTATTAATGGGAGTATTTTATATTACATCAGCATTAGCATTCCAACAAGATTAAGACCTCTTTGCACTGCAAATTATATGCACCTTCATCACGATACCTGGTATCTGTTACAATGTTATCTGATGTTTTTTAAATACTTTTAGTGACTGAGCAATAGCTTCTCTTTGAAACATAAGCCTGCTCATAGTAACGTCTAAGCTAGATACTGTTAACTGATGACTCACTCTATGGTGCACCTTTTGCTGTTTGCATTTACCGCACATTTTTATGACCCTGTACAATGCTGTTTCCATGTACATGGAGCTCACTAGGAAACAAAAATGCACAACATCTTGCAGAATTTAGCCTGTAATTTTATGGTTCACAATGAGACACACCTACAGTAATCTGACAAAATGAAAGCGATATGTCATATCAGCTCCAAATATTGTCTCCTCTACAGCAGCTGCATTGAAAGAGATCTGACATAATGGTGTTACATCAGCAGAACTACTAATCTCAGATGCTAGTCATTTCAGTACAGAGGGAGCTGTAGCAAATGGAGGTTATTCAATATCTTCTAGCATTTAGGGCAAACGTGGCATTTTGGACTGTTCCTACTAATGGCAGAATACATTAGCTGATGCTAACATTGCTGCTGCAGAGCCACTTGTGCAGGTGATCTGCTCCTGACAGCAAAGTGTCTGTTCCTGACAGCAAAGTGTCTGTTCCTTATTTTGGTGCCTTGCAGAAACAACAAGATTACTTGAAAGAAAAAGGCTTACTCAAGGTGTTAGTAGTAAAAACAGAAGTCTCTGGCATATAAAAAATTATTATTACTTTTAGTATATTTAACTCTCCTTAGGAACTTAGAATTACTTTCAGGAACTTTTGCCTCCTCAGTATCTTATGTGACAGGTCATGCTGAAAAAAGGAGCTGCCACAGAGAGCTGCAGTGTTCTGCAGGAACACAGGAGTATCAGAAGCCACAAAGCAAGCACACACCTTTTTTTATGGTCCTCAAGTAGGAGAATTGCAATGAGAAGTATAATAGTTTTACTTAAACTGAAAGGAGAACGATACTGAGAGGATTTTGCTATTTTCAGTGTCATGAGGTGGCACGTATGAAGAATCCTTGGCAAAAATTCCTGAGCCATAAGGCTGAACCTGTTTACCCAGGCACAGTGCCATTCTGTCAGATGGGCACTGATACACCAATTGTAGAGACCCTGTGTTGTACATGCATCAGATGTAAGTGTCCTAGGTATGATTCCCAGCAAGGATTGTCCATATGTCTGTTCATTCTAATTTTATATTCTGTTGTTCCATTACTAATTCAGGTATGGGTCTGATTATGTTTCAAAAATAGAGAACAGTTTTTTTTCTCCTTTAATAAGAGCTTGTGCCCACGTGCATAACACAGATTGGACCAATGGTTCAGGAGAAGTTTCTGGGGGATGAACTTTCCTCCCTGGCCTTACCAGACCCCCTCCTTCTGCATTCAGAGAAATGAAAGCTTTATAAATACCTTTCATTTCTAAGCAAGTCCCTGTCCATCAGAGTAAATCTCTGGCGCCAAGCTAGATTTCATATGCATAGCAGAGTGGAAATATGTGTTCAGCCACTCTCTTCTCTATTTTGGAGGATGTTTTGCCTGACCTGGTATAAAACATAGAGGTTTCAGGGTTCAAGAAAGACCATGGCACTGGGGATTGTCTCCCTCACTGCTCTCTCACAACAACCACCTGCCTTTCCTCTTTATTTTCTCAGTGGACTCAGATTTCTGTGAATCAGCAGGACTCCCAGCATTGTTCTTGTCCTATCTAGATATTTTATATGGCCATGGTACAACGTGTTATTTTGTTTATTGTATTCCTTCTTATGTGTTTCATTTTCCCATGTATTGAACAGATAAGGATCTGATATCTGAAATGGGCAGAGTGATGCCAGGTCATATTCTTCTCTGATAGCTGAAGGAATTGCAGAGGCATCAAATCATTTAGTACAAAGCTTTGATAAACTAATTTTCTGGCTTATCTCATGCAGTCTGTTCCATACTAATGCAGCAAATTTGAAAAAAAATTACAAAAATTTTCATTTTCCTGACATTCCTTTTGGAATTAGCTTTACTAAGTGCTAGAGCAACACGATGAGGCAGACTCAACCTCTTTTGATTTTGGTTTAATGTGCACTCTGAACAATGCATGATGTATTTCTTTTGGACTTGACGTGTATCAGTAGATTGGCCACAGTGTGAGTCTCACCTAAGAGATGTTTCCATAAATGCTGACAGTGAGCAGTTGCAGTTGAAAATACCCAACCTCCCCTGAAGTCTACTTAACTTACCTCTATGTACATACATAGTTTCTTCACCCACTTGTAAAATGTAGTTGCCTCTGGTTGGCTGAACCAGCTTTAGCTGTTTATATTACTGCAAGATGCACTTCAATGCACTGTAATTTTCTGGGAAATTTTAAGTAGAAGAATGATAGCTGAGCTTTGTTGGGACTCACTTATTAGTATCCTCTCCTATTGCTGTACCATCCTGAAATCTTTAAGGACTTCTGTTACAGAGCACAGAGGCATAAAAGCAACATGCATAAACCAGCTCTGAGACAAAAAAAATTGCAGTTCTGACTGGATATGAGTGTTTTGCTGCTCAGATATTTTTACCGTGGGCTGAGATTTGCCATTTTACAAATGTTTGTATAGTAGAGTCCAGCACAACAAAGTCATACACAGTTTGAATATTTAAAAGGTAAAATAATGACAATAATGTTACCTGCAAACTTTAAGGAGTGCACAGTGGAATGTGGAGTGCACAGTCCTTTCAGTGCAGCATGCCACCATGCAATTAATGGAATGGGAACTAGTACTGCAAGGCAAAATTGTTTCTGCAATTTACAGTCAATTAAACCATAAGTATTGCTCTGTAACTGATAGACCAGTATGCAGTGCTCCTCATCTTGCATTCTTTAAAGTCTGAATCTCACATTCTGTTTCTAATTCTTAATAGCAACATTTTTGCTTTAGATTGCTGGTAATAGAGTAATTTTTATCCCATTCTGAATTTATGGATGACACACAAACCATCAATGCTGCATCTTTAAGTTTAGTGATCATTTCTTCAGTAGCTGAGTATGTTTTACTACATGAGAAATAGGGACAAGGTCCTCTAAGATAGAGATGCTTAGCATAATTCAATATATCAAATAAACATCACTTGGGAACTTGAGGAGTGGGTCTTCTGTAGAATGTGATGCCCTGTTTACAGTTTTCAGTGTTTATATAAGTTTCAGTTTATAAGTATTTCCTATTTCTTCCTTTAGTTTTATGGTTTCTTTCATTATTTCTTTCTAGCTCAACAAAATTCACCAAAAATCCATGAAGGCTGGTGGGCTTATAAGGAGGTGGTCCAGGGAAGCTTTGTTCCAGGTAAGTGTAATTTTAAAATCCTAGTTTTTATTAAATGTTTTTCACTTGAATGAATATCATTGGGTTTTGGGAAGATTTTGTTTGGGTCTTTTTTAACCATTGCAAAGATTTGAAGTACACAGGTACTTAGCATCACATTGTATTGAAGTGTAGAAGGGCTTTTGTCACTACATTATCCAAAGAGCATGGCTGTCTTCTGGGAAAGAAAATGAGATTAAATATTTCAACATTTCAATGAGTTTCTGACACTGAAATTCTTGTGAAAAGCCTGTATGAAAATTGACATCTACAAGCCTGAAGCATAAATATGGACATAGCATAAAGTAGCTTTTCAGATTTCTTTGTGATTGGTTTGGGTTGTCAAAGATGCTGCAACATGTTGTTATGCATGTTTAGTTCTTAATGTTGATAGCAGGGGAAGAAACCTGGAGAAGATATTCACTTGCATTCAAGAAGAAATTTCAGCCTTCCTTATTTGCATGACCCAGGCAGATGCCCAGTAGAAGGTGAATGAAAAAAAATATTTGCTTTACAGGTCTTCTAACTGTTTCAGCTTAAAGTTATTGAGAAAAATATTTCAATCAGCATGTAAAGAAATATATGGAATCAGGTAATACTTGTGGTATTCCAGTCTTAATACCATGAGAAATCTGGGCTTGGGAACATCCTTAGAGGAAATAGTCATGACTCAGAATATCAAGGAAGATATTTTAGAAAAGTGTGGAGGGACAACTTTCTGAGAGATCCCTGAATTACACATACATGTTGAATATCAGATTAACCTAGCACACATCTTCCAGAAGTGGTCCAGAAGGGTGATTATGAACAGCTCACTTGGAGCAGCCATGCAGAAAGCAAGGGTAATTTGGCAGCAGGTTTCTTGCAGACTCTCATGTTTCTTTCAAAGTCTGTAAGCCTCAGCAGAAAAGTCCCATGAACTTTTACAGAACAAACAGCTAGATTTTGGAGTCTTTGAAAACCATATTTAAAACATTTCAAGGATGCATTTTATAGTTATGATCTCAGGCTAACACATCACAAAGGATATATTAGTGCATATAAGTTTATCCATAATGTTAGCAGTCACATATCAGATCTCGCATGAGATGCTAATTAGCACCTGAGAGGTGATAGCTGCAAGGCAGGCTGAGAAGCTCTAGCTGAAGTTGCTGACTGATGTGCACTGAAGCAAGCAGTTAGAGCCATCTGCTAGGATGCTTCCTTTCTATAAGCTGTTAGTCCTGTCTCAGGGCTGGAAGTTGCAACCTCCAAATATATTTGAAAGGAGTACTTGTCCAACACCCTGTCACTGCAGTTCAAAACTAGCATCTCAGCTAATATGATTGACATGAACACAGCTCTTTAGCTGCTTGGGGGAACAACAACAAGCATAAAGATGGCTAATTGGGGCATTACAAAACACTCTAGGATGAGTTGCTAGAGTTTGTCACAGCTTTGGCTATGTGAATACTTTTCACCTATTTCAAAGCAAAGTCACTGTCTTTCTTTGAACTGTCATGTCTTCTTTCATGTATAGCTGTGTAAGAACTACACACTACATTTCCCAAATCCCAACTCCCTATACTCTGGAATAGTTTTTTTAAAAATTATTTAAAATATCTTTATAATGTAATATGTTCATCTGGACACAGGTTGTTGGTTTGGTTTTTTTTTCCCAGATTACGGGATTCACAACTTAAATTACATGTTGTAAACCAGTGGTTTACAGTCACTGATGTATATCTTACTGGTAGGCGAGGATACCGGCAGAGATGAGGTACCGGACACATCACACTCTCTTTCCCAACTTCCCTTTGCAGTGATCAGTGGTGCCTTTTTCCCTTCACAGCCTAATTATCTATCTTGGGTGTGTATTTCCCTCCAAAGTTATCCATGGAAGAAAAATTGCAAGTAACAGATGTATCTCGGACTTTGCCTCATAACCCTGACAGAACTAAGTGATTCAGGTTGTATTCCTGCCACAGCCAGGCTCTGCAAAGGTCAAGCCTTCCCTCTCTAAAAAATTCTTCCTTGCATCGCCTGTTGTGTCTTGCTGCGTTACCAGATGTCTAGTACCTCTCCTGCTGAACCTGTGGGTTCCTTCTGCTAGGACACAAGCAGTATCCCCCTTCTACTTAAGGAATGTGCTAATATGGAAGACCTTCAAGGCAGTAGTCTGCAGGTCCTTGTCAATTATTGTACCTCACAGTTTGCTTTTAGGTTAGAGGCCAATTTTAGGGATAGCAGTACTACAGTTACCTCTTTTATGCAGTTGAAAGTCCTCTTTCACACTATCCTGAAGTCGTTGCTGTTTATCTTGAAGTGACACTAGTATAGGTTATAAGAAGCAAGAACAAATAACTGACAGTAATTCTTTGGGACAGCTGTAGTTGGTAGGGCTAGCAAAACCCGCATGGCTGATGACTTTTAGCTGGGAGGATGTTTAAGAGAGAAGGAGCATTTCTGTGCAGGACCTTATGTGTATCTTCAAAAGTTTGGGATTTGGAATAAAAAGCTAAGGCTAATATTGGGAGCCTTTCTTTTCTTAGGTTTTTTACTGTGACCTAAGAGCAAAGGAAGGAATTTCAAATTTACTGATATATACAGGAAGGGGTTTTTGTGTTCTTGACAAGCTAAGTATAAAACCAGATGAAATGGTGGTCTGTGACTAAGTCATTAATAACTGAAAGCTTGTAAATCCTTACTTTGAAGGATTATTCAGGATAGTTCTAAGTGCCAGACAGAAAGGCTCCTGCATGTTTGTGCTGCTGAATATATGTATGGGTATATTTGAAAAATTCATCTTATCTTAACACCTTTGACATGCTGCTCTTCAGACAATATTTTGGTGATTCTTGTCATCCTTTGGCTACAGACATTTTAATGGGATCCATGTCTTAAAAGAGTAGGACTGTAGCACAAAGAAATCTGATAGAGGAATTAGTGGCTGCTCAGAGACCCAAAGAACTTTTCTAAGCTAATAAACCAAAGTGAATAATGGTATCTGCCATGGTTGATTATGTAAGGAGGGGACTTGGAACTTTGGCTATTATTACCTCATAGTAGTAGACTTTTCTGTCTGTGCATGTGTTTTGGATAGTAGCAACCATCCCTCCTTACATTATAAAAACCCTTTATAGATTTTTGCTGTATAGTGTTAAATAAGTTAAATAATAAATTCTTCTCATGAAGAAGTCACTGAGAATAACAAGGAATTGTATTTTTCTGTGCTAATCATGGTCTTCTGTAGTGGTGTGTAATTGGACTTAATCAGAGAAGGGTCACGATGCTTCAGCTGATGTTTGCTAGGTACTTCTCCCATAAATCTGTGTGCGATGAGATTGAACTGGAAGGGATCACAGCATAGCATGGAAATAGAGGTAATGAGTGACACTAAGAGGTTGCCTCACTGCTCCTCTTATCATTATCCCACTTACAGAAAACTACTCTTGTAAAATGCTTTGATGAAGAGAATTATATTTTAAGAGTACTACAATTACAGCTTGCAATTATCAATTAGGAATTCAGTTCTTATTTCATTGAGAGTATGTACATCAGGTTATTTTAGACTTCAGGGAGATTATTCTTAACTGTTACACTGGTGATGAACCCAGGACGACTGAGAACTTTATATTAATATAACATGCAGGTTTCAATTCATACATCTCATTAGTATTTTTAGGGTCATTAGGGAAGAATTTGCCACCTCATACAGAGGAAAATATGGTCACTGCAGCTACATCCTTATCTGTGGTTAAAATAAATGCCTGTGAAGTAAGATCATACCACTGTGTATGGCTACAGAGTAACTCGGCTTGTTATTTATTATCTATGAAAACTTCACTGATACTCACAAAGAACTCCCTTGTTAAATCCTGTCCCCTGCCTAACAGAGAAAGAGGTCAAAAAGAAAAGGTAACAAGGCTGTTTCCTAAAGGTAGACACTTGCACATAGCATGCAAGTGCTTTCCTTGTAGAGTGCTATGACTGTAATAGTAAATAAAGAATCAGAGGATTGTTACATCATAGTATTTATTCAGTAGCCTACAAGAACTTTATTTCTGAAAATGCCATGTGTGTGTCTGTGTAGGATTATGTAGGCTCTTCACATAGGGGATTGTTATTGACTTGATAGTCTGAAACCACTCATTCATACTCAGTGAAAATTTCCTCCTCTTGTAACACTTCTCTAAAAAGGTCAGTAGTGAATTCACTGAACCATAAATCCATTAAACACACTAAGGAGCAAAATCCATGCTCATCATTTACCATGCCTGCCTACAAGTACTTGGAATTATTATTTGGAGAAGTTTTACTGCTGTTCCACACGTTAAAATACAGCTATCGTATAACATCACCCCACAGTGGTATTTCTGGGCATATGTTATTTGTGGTCATCGAGAGATTTACTATCTCTTAAGAAGAAACTCACCATGAAATACAGTCACCTATTCAGTGCATTTCCAGCTACCTGCTGACCCTGCTCAGAGCTGTAAATTGCATTGGAGTTAATGACTGCCCTAAGAAGGAAGCTTCCTGAATGTTATTGATTGTGGTTTGTTGTTTTGTTGTGGTGGGTTTTTTTTTCCTACTAATGAAAATATTACTAAATTGTCACTTTTTCCTTGCTGAATAGTGTGGGTTTATATTAGGGCCCTTGTCCATTTTGTATTTATAAAATGTACAAAAATGCATTAGTATTTCCAGACCAAGCAGTCACCAACTTTATAGTCAGGACATAAACCTTGAAAATAACAGCATAACATCATAATGGGAAATCTGACAGGTCGTTAACTACAGCTGCACAAATGGCATTGCTGTAATTCACAAGTGCACATGGACAACAGCACAGCCTTTCAGTGTCTGGTTGAGAAAGAAAAATACTGAAGTATGTAGCACAAAATAGCCAGGTGACACTGCAAGTTGTTCCCTTGACACCAGAGCACATTGCTGATACGTGTTCCAATCCAACACAGAGGTGGTTTTTTAGGACCATTTAA